CCGACGAGCTGCCGAGCGTGTGTCGCTTCACGTTCGCAGAGCTGTGCGACTCGCCGCTGGGCCCGGCCGACTATCTGACGCTCGCCTCGACCTACCACACTTTTGTGCTCGAGGGTGTACCGCAGATGACGCTCATGCAGAAGAACCAGGCGCGCCGCATGATCACGCTGCTCGATGCCGTGTACGAGGCCGGATGCCGGCTGATCGTGCTGGCCGACGCCGGACCCGACGACCTTTTCTTCCCAGACGCAGAGGGCGCAGCACGCCACGCTGCACGCGGACCAGCCGCCGGGCCAGGCGATGTCCGGCCCGAGCTGCACCTCGGCGCCGTTGGGACGCACGAGGACGTCGTGGACATGTCGACCAAAGGCGCGCGTTCGCCGTTCCTCACGCCTCCGCCCGGCGAGGGATACCCCGAGGAAGAAGAGCTCGCGCGACGCAAGGCGGGGCAGCGCGTCGACTTTAGCCAGGACGAGTTCATGACCGAATCGCTCATCATGGCCGAAACGCTGTCCGAGGCAATGCAGGATACCGAAGAGGGCTTCCGTCCCAACATCTCGGCCTACTCGTCTGACCGGCCATCTCGCTCCGCCGGCAACACCGCAGACGCCGACGTGGCGCAAAAGGTCAAGGACGATAAGGCGGGCTTCAAGCATCTGGCGATCTTCAGCGGTGAGGACGAGCGATTTTCGTACCAGCGCGCCGTGTCGCGGCTGTTCGAGATGAGCCATCCGGACTGGATGCGACGCAAGGGGTGGCGGCCGTTCCTGTCCAACGAGATGGCGGCGTGGGCGGGGAGCTCGCGCGGGAAAGTGGCTGAGGCGGTGGGCAAGGCGGTGGTGGCCAACGAGCTGAACGAGGCGCACAGGCATTTGGAGCGTGCCGAGAGCGCTGCGAGTGCGACGGCGGGGCTGTTGGCCGATTCGCCCCGGTTCGAGGATCCGAGTGGGGATTTTGCGGACGAGGCATCGTACGAGACCGCGACGTTCCCGGGCCGGAGAACGGCCCAGACGCGCCTGGAGAGAGAGATGTCGGAGTGGACGGCAAAGAAGCAGGAGCAGCGGGAGAGTGGGAGCTATGCGGCGCCGGATTTTAGTCCGGGGCCGATCGGCAAGAAGAGGGGCAGGAACGAGGGCCCGCCCGTGCTGGCCGAGGCGCACGTGTGGGGCGTGCGCGAGGACTGGGGCAAGAAAGCGGGCGCCTGGGGCCGAGGCAGCGCCGTTTTTGCGGACAAGGAGTCTCAGTCGCCGGAGGCAGCATCGAAGAATGCGCGTACGAGGCCACGTTCGACGGGGACAGGTGGTGGTGATGGTGGTGGTGGGCGACGTGGGTTTAGCACGAGCGCACTGGCACATGCACGTGCGCTGGACCACTACAGCACGCTGCAAGTGGCGCGCGGTGCAACGCAGGCGCAGATCAAGGCGCAGTTCTACAAGCTGTCGAAAGAGCTGCATCCGGACGTCAACCCGAGCGACGATGCCAAGAAGCGCTTCCAAGAAGTGAGCGAAGCCTATGCCACGCTGGGCACTCCGGCGAACCGTCGCACGTACGACCGACAATCTTCATCCGCCTCGGCGGCGGGAGGAGGGGGAGGGTATGGCGATAATGTGGGGCGGGGGTATGCGTGGGATGCGGAGGACAATGCGAATCGGCGAGCGCGCGCCACGTATGCATGGGACTACCAACGGCGACGCAAGCAGCAGGACCAACGGACGTACGGTCGACAGGCCAGCATGTACACGTCGGATGAGGGCGATGCGTTCGAGACGCTCGCGGCGCAACAGCGCGCGCGCGAGGCGCGCAACCGAGCAAGACAGCAGGGAAGCGAGGCGTGGAGCAGTGCAGAAAAGGAGTACCAGAGCGACGTCGCCAATCCCTTTATGCGGTTCGGGCAGGTGGTCGTCATGCTCTACCTCGTCTGGAAGGCGGGTACGTACTTTGTGGACCACCCCACCTCGCGCAAGCGAACCACGACGTAATGCAATCCACACTTTTCGTACAATCAATCGTTCTGGATTGGCAGCAAGAGGGGCGAGATCTTTATTTGGCGGGAGCGGGGGCAGGTTTGGGTTCTTCGTCGCCAGCGGGCATGATGAGGAGGATGGCGATGGGGATGAGGTAGAACCAGTACTTTTGCAGGAACGTCTTTTCGGGCGGTGGCGTCTGCACCGTCCCGTCCTCGTTGGTCGGTAGGGCCTGTTTGAGCTGCGGCTTTGGCGGCACCACTGGGCTTAGTACGACGAGGTGCGTGTTGAATTCCACCTTGGCTTGCGGCGTCGCCACTTGTTTACCGCGGTTCGAGCGTCGGGCGAGCTGCCTCTGTCGCTCCTTCTTGGCCTGTTCCCTGAGTGCGGTGAGCTTTGTGGTGGTTTGGAGGGGGCAGATGGGGTCAAGGGTGATATCGTTGATGCGGTATGCGATGTTGGTCAGGCCTGCGCCACGGGTGGTGAGGGTGAGCGTGTCATCGATACTGAGCAGGTCCGGATGGGATTGGCGCAGATGGCAGAGCGGGATCGAGGTCGATGCGTGTACGTTACCGCCAGTGGAAAGGGCGATGGAGTACCACTCCTCCTGCGCAGCAGCAGCAGCAGCGGTACGAAGGGCCTCGATGTCCGAGGTCGAGAGCGTGGTGGTAAGCACGGCGTCCGAGGCGTTGAGCGAGAGTGCGCCGCGCACCGTCCACTCGGGCGTGGTCGAGAAGGTGGAGATGCGGTGAAGCACGTCGTACGTCACGGCGCCTGCGCGTGCAACGCACACCAAGACTATCGCTACCAGCAGAATCCGCATATTGCCCGTGGTGGTGGGAGTGAGACCAAGGTCAACTGCTCGCGCGCGGCTCATGAAAAGCTTCGGCGCGGGACGTGCACTGGCCATGTCGACCTAACAATTTTTCAAAATCTTCTCAGCCTCAAACCCACCTTGGGTTGCATACGTACAGCTATGCGACAGAAACGACAGATTGCATGGTGGGAACGAGCTTACAAGGGTCCGTGGTAAAGAGCGTAGACTGGAGTCACATGACGATGCAGCAGCAGCCGGACTTGCCGTGCGTGTCTGTGCGCTTCGTCGGCGGCGGTGAGGGTGCCGTGACTGGCTGCACTGGCTGCGCTGCGTATGTCTGCTGCCCATTTGGCGGCGCGATTTCTTGCAAGGGCACTTGTTCCTGCTGCTGCGTGAGACGTTGCTGTGCACGGCGCTGACTGTTCCTCGATCTAGCCCTGTGCTCCGTCGGCACCTCGCTCACCTCGCTCGCAAGTGGTCGCTCTGGCTCGGGCTGAACTGCGGGCTCGGGCTGGTGTACTTGGGCATCGCGTGCTTCGGCCTCGAGCCTGGCGGCGCGTTGCTGTGCAGCAAAGTCGGTCTGGCTGAGCGGCAGGCCGTTGCGGTCCCAGGTATCGATGAGCGCCTCGTGGGTGCGTGTGCTGTTGCCGGCGAGCAGTTGCTGCTGCTGTAGCTTGCGTGCGACGGTGGGGATGATCTGGTCCTCCCAGTCGTTGACGCTCCTGCTGGGCGATGCCGCGAGCGAAGCGGGTGGACCAAGTGCGCCGAACTCGTCCGTGCGGCCGAAGGCAGGTGGGGCTGAGGCCTCGCGCATCCCGCGCACGCGCTCGGGCGTCAGGGATGCATCCGACAGCGACTTGAATGCGTCCGGCTGCGTGCGGCGCATGGGCGAGGCATCGTCGAGGTGGACGCGACGTGCGTTGGGCGAGGAGCTACCGAGCGGCCCGAACTCTTCGATCAGCTTCGGGTCGAGTGCGGCTGCTTTGCGTCGAGATAGCGATGTCGTTCGCTGGTGTGTAGGCAGAGGTGGTGGGGAGGGAATGGGTGCGGGCGTGTCGATGCTGGGGCGCATGGGCGTCGAGTGTGTGCGTATGCGTCTGCGTTCGAACGACGTGCGGTCAACTTCTGGAATCGGCTCAATGCTGCTTCCCAACTGCGCTGAGTCGGTTGAGGCTTGGCTGAGGCGTGCAGCGTGTTGGCGCGCGGCGATCTGGCGTGCCTTCTCCCTCGCTCGCTGCGTTGCATCGCTCGAGCCACTGGATCGGGGTGCGGGGGACTCGGCAAAAGGAAAGCTGGATGCGGCCACGTCTGCGCGGGATCGGGCGGGGCGCATCGTGGCGAAGCGGTTGTGGTACTGGTCTATGGACGACTCGCGATGCGTGTGGACGATCTCGCGCGATGCCCGGGCGTCCCGGCGGTCAGTCGACTCGCGAGGTCGTGCCCATCCGGCGTCGCTCTCTTCGATCCGGCTAATGCGCTTGGATAAGTCGCGCGACTGCTGCTCGAGCTTGCGCCGCAATGCAGGCACCACCTGGTCGTCCCATGGCACAGCAGCCTGACTGGAAGGCGGGACGGATAGAGGTCCCCACCCGTCCTCATCCATGCCGGAGTTGGTGACATCGTGCCGGGCGGCGAGCGGGATGCGCGCACTGCGCGAGTGCGGTAGCGTAGCAGCCGGCATGGCGATGGACTTGCTGCCAAAGCGCAGTGGGACGGTGGTGCAGCTAGATGCCAAACATGACGGCTTGCGACTGCGACAGAGTCGGGGAAAGCACGTCGAGATGGTGGGGGGAACGCCGTGTGGTGTGAGCCAGTTGAGCCTGGTGGCAGCGGACACTCACGCGCTTTTCCACGGCTCTGGCTGCCCACAAAATCGCGCGCTTCCAGACATGATGCACGGCCCCGTCACAAGCGCCCCCTTGCCCGCATCAAATGAAACAAACACTTTGCAACTCCGTTGGCTTGCCGCGGGCCGTGCTCCCAAATGACGCGCCAGAGCCTTCATCTCGACCCCTCTTCACACCACACACTGAGCGACACAAAATCAAGGCGAAAGTCCATGGCAATCAAGGGGGCGAGCGCTGTGCGCTTCAACCCGTCGGTTCGGCGTTCGCTCAAGCGAGCAGACCAAATCCAACACCGAGCACGACGGAAGCGGCAGTGCCAACCATGGCTGCGGCACCCATGTTGGTGGTGGCGCCGTTGCTGGCGCCGCCACTGGGGCGGGAAGTGCCGGTGCTGGTGGTGCTGGCGAGCGTGGCGGTGGCCGAACCAGTGGCTGCCATGGTCGCCGAGCTGTTGGGGTCGGCGTTCGTGTTGGCCGTCACCTCGGCAGGCTGCGTGCCGTTCGGCTTCACCTCGAACGAGCTCGAAGCTGCGTCAATCCCAATTCGCAGAGTCAGCATGCTGCGTTCAATCACAGAGCGTAGGCGAAAACTTACTGTAATACACCTGTGGCCTGTCGAGCTCGTAGTTGCTGCTGTTGACAAACAGGAGCGAGTAGGTGCCGCTCGGAATGCGGTCGATAAAGATCTGCGCCGTGCCGTTCTACACTCGCGCAAGAGCAGCGGTCAGCATACACGGTCGGTGGTCGAGAAGAAAGGGCGGGACTCACCTCGGTCACGAGGGCGTTTCCAATCTGGAAGTTGCCGTTGAGCTGGCTGCTGTTCGAGTTGAGCAGCTGCACCGAGAAGAAGCTCGGGTCGCTCGAGTTGGCCTTCCAGTTCTGTTTCGCGCGCGGAATCAAAGGGCGGTCAGTGGGATGTATGCGCTGAAACAGCGCGGAGGGATGGCACCTACCAGGGTGTTGGTGTAGTTGGTCTGCAGCAAGAAAGCAATGCGTCGGTCAGCATCTCGCGGTTCATTCTCCATCTCGATGGACTGCACTTACGACCCAGTAGCCGCCATCGTTGTTGGGAAAGGTGATCTCGAACGCCTGGGCGACTCCGGCTAGCGAGCCGATGAGAGCGAGGGCAGCAGCAGCATGCATGATGATCGGACTGTGGGTATGAGGGGTATCTATGCGACAGAGAGGAGAGCGTAGGGGATGGTGGTGTTGGATCAAGATGCTTTTGCAAGGTGGGGGGATGGGAGTTGGATGCGCTGCCCAAGGGTCTGTCTGCATTTGCCAAGACCTCACAGCTGCATCTCTGCGCATTTATTCGAGCTTCGCTTTTCCCTTGCCTCTCTGCCGCCTCGACGTCGTGAGGAGGAAGGCGAAATCGGAACAACACCCGTTCGGTCTCACCCGCGCTCACCCGCCACCG